GCATAAGATGCTTGAAAACGTTGATGATCCTTCATTCCAACCTGTTTATATTACAATGAGGAAATCTCAATCAAAATTCAAGATAACAAAAAAGAAGAAAGATTTTTAATAATTACCAATGTGGAAATGTTCTTCTTTCCATCAGTTTCTCTAACAAGACATTTGTTCTCAACTTCTTTACCAGCAGTTGCCATCTTATTTCTTTGTACCTTAGACTTGTCAGATGAGGAACATATAATCAAATTGACAATTAATACCCTTAATTGGAAAAAAAAAATTAAACTTATAGTGTTTGAGAGTAACCCACACAGAGCCTTTTTCTGTAGTGTGCTTTAGTTAGTTCATTAAGAAACGAGTCAATCTGTAAGCGCACCTACCATTATTAAAGAAATAGAAAACAATTCAGGCATGTTGATTTATAATAATAATAATAATAATAATAATAATAATAATAATAATAATAATAATATATGAATTTTAGTCATTAAATTGCACATAATCATGGTGACTCACTTACCATAAGGAATGTTGGGAGTGTTGTTGTTTGTTGAATATACAAAGAGGAAGAACAGGGGTCTGAAGTTGTCAAATATTCAAAAATTATTAACTAGTAACAATTCAAACTTAAACTAAAATTCTCTTGACTAAAAACTCTTCATAATTAGATTTCAATTTAAACAGACCCTAACTAACTGTTAACTACTAAGTACTAACAAGTGGGAACCAACAAAAAACAAGTTGATTTTCAACAAGGAGTATCTTTCTTGATAGAAGATTCATCTAGAATAATCCACGTTTAAATGGTTTGTTTTGATTCAGATTTCAAGAACATAAAACGTTCTATTTTTAGAATCAAAACTTATGCTTATTGTTTTCATAATTAGTGTGAACTAGTTGCAAGTTTAGCAATCTTTCTTTTCTGTTCTTTTGTAGCCAAAATTGGAAATATGTTTTACTGTTTACGTGTTTGAATCACACTAAACCTTCCACAGATAATCAAATGGTTTAGGTTCATCTAATCATTTTTCTATTTTTAGATCTCATTATCATATTTCGGAAGCAAGTGGTAATCGCAATATTCCTTACTCTTACACTACCAACAAAACGAAAGTAAAGGTTAGCAAATTAGAACATTAGGCATCATTAAACAAAACTTATGTTTCTAAGTTTCTGTTATATGTTGACCTGTTGAGTAATCTGTTGTAAAAAAAAAAAGGATTTCTTTATTTCTTAATTGAAATTTGAACCCATGACAAGACCTTCAATTTTTGTTATGGCACTATAGGACTCACATAATGAAACGGTAGTTAAAGAAATCCATCAGCTATATAGTTATATGCAATAGCTTTGAATATCTAAGTCATACTGCATGAATCTACTTTTAAATACTAGCTGGGCCAAAATGTCACACGATCTTGTTACCATTCATATAGTTTTCTCATAATTTAATCAAAATCAATTCAAATTCGATCACAAACCAGTTAAGCACTCAACGATTACGCTCTTTATCTCACACACAAAGAACCCGAAAACCGATATCAGGATTAAGCAAAATACAAAGCAAAAGAAACACACTTACCTCTTTCGGTTGTATGAATCGAAAGCAATCCTTCTGGAATCACCACTATCTCATGTTAAATTCGAAGCAACAACATAAAATTGAAGAGTTAAAAAGGGGATTAGGGGAAATGTGGTAGGGTAGTGCATCTAGGGCAGTTTCAAATTAGCTTATTTTTTTAGTAAATTATAAGTGGTCCTTTTTAACTTTACATTTTTTCTTTAGGGGAATCTTCAAAAAAGTCCCAAACTTTTGGGAAAAGTTATACTTTTGTCCCAATTTTGTTTTTGAACAAAAAAAACCCAAGAAACCGAGTAAATCGAACATTTTGGCCCTATTTTACCAGCGACCATCATTTAGCCGATAAAAATTGCTTATGTGGTCAGGACTTGCTTACGTGGGTTTAATTGATCTCATTTATACACACGTAGTACAACTTAACTCTCTCGTTTCACATTCTCCCTCAGTAAACTAGGGCTTTTACCCTCGTGCAGTTGAAATCATGGACGACATCCATGATTTTGATACAATAAATGTGGAGTTGGATGCGTACTTCAAAAAGAAACAAGTTTCCCGATGCAAAGACGAATTTCTCAATATTCTATGTGAAGAAGACGATTACGAGACAATATATGATTTTAAAAGCTGAAAATGATGCCGAAACTGGAAACGATGCTCAAACTGGAATCACTAAAGAAGAATCAAATGAAGATTATCTGGAAGGTAGTAACGAGAAAGATAGTGATGAGGAATTTGAGTATTCCACCTACAATCCAAAGGTGAAATGGAACAAAATGAGACCAACATTTGGTGAAAGGTATGAATCCCCACATAAACTGAAATTGTGTTTAACCAACTATGCTGTTAGTAAGGGTTTTCAAATCCGTTTAAAAAAATGTGATAATGTTAGACTAGTGGCAATATGTGGAAGTGATCCAAAGAAGTGTCCATTTGTGGTTAGGGCTTCTTGATGAGTACCGAAAGGTCTTTCCAAGTCAAAAAGATTATGGACATTCATAAATGTGTTAGGAATTTTAACAATTCAAGGCTTATGGATCCTACCTGGTTAGCTAGAAAATTTGTGAAGGAGTTGATTAGGAAACCTAATTTAAAATGTAAGGAGATGTAGGTAATTATACAAAGTAAATTTCATTGCAAAATTTCATCGTTAAATTGTTATAGATCAAGGATGAGGGCACTGTCATTAACTCATGGGAAATTGAGTGACCACTACGCAAGAGTTTGGGATTATGGGCATGAGCTACTAAGATCCAATCTAGACAACACAGTTAGGGTTACAGTTAATGTAAACCCTGATAATACCACAACATTTCATAGATTCTACATTTGCTTTAAAGCAATAAAAGAGGGGTGGAAAAGGGGATGTTGTAGGGTAATAAGATTGGATGGTTCTTTTCTGTAGGGACAATGTAAGGGTGAGTTGTTAACTACAATAGGTAGGGATGTCAACAATCAGGTGTATCGTATAGCATGGGCAGTTGTTGATGTAGAGAACAATAACAATTGGATTTGGTTAATGATGATATTGGATTGCAGGGTGGAAGGGGTGTGTGTGTAATCAGTGACCAACACATGGTAAAGTAACTATCTCTTTATTTTTCATTATATACAATAGTGTATGATGTTGCTAATTAACTTTTCTTTTTCATGATCAAGGGTCTTCTTGAAGCTAGTAAGGATATTCTACCATATGTTGAGCATAGGCAATGTGCCAGGCATATCTATGCCAATTTCAGAAAAGTGTATAGTGGATTGGAGTTCAGAAACATGTTTTGGGTTGCTGCAAAATCTACCACAAAAGGATATTTCAATTTTAATATGGAAAGGATCAGGGCAATAAGTTCTGCTTCTTATGATCACCTCATGGCAAGGGAACCAACTTCATGGTGCAGGACATATTTCTCTACTGGCTTAGCTTGTGAGGCTGTAGAGAATGGGATTGTTGAGTGTTTCGATGCAATCATTATAGACGCAAGAAAGAAACCTCTACTGACTATGCTTGAAGATAATAGGTTTTACATGATGGAAAAGGCTTTCAATCTGAAACTATTGGCTGAAAACTGGGTTAGTGAAGTTTTTCCTTCCGCGGTAACAAGATGGAAGAATTTAGAGAAGACATTAAGTAAGTATTTTCAATTGTTTTGTTTTTACATGTTCTATCATATGTGTTTACATCTTATGTTCTATTTTATGTACTTGCAGAAGTCGGTATGCAGTTTCGAGTGGAGTGAATGAATATGAAGTAAGGAATGGATTTCAAAACTATGGAGTTGACTTGAAGGAAAAAAAGTGTGCTTGTAGATTATGGGAACTTTCAGGGTTACCTTGTGTGCATGCACAAGTGGAAATATTGTACACCAATCAAGATCCAATTAATTTTATAAGTAGTTGGTTCAACAAAAAATAATTACAAGGCAACTTATGATCAGAATATACTCCCAATTAATGGAAGTAACTTATGGGAAGAAACAAGTTACACTAAGCCCCTTCCACCCATTGAAAGGAAGATGTCAGTAAGGCCTAGTGTTAAAAAAAGAAGACATGTTTCGGAAAATCACGACAATTACTCTTAAGTCTCAAGCAAGGGTAGAACTGTCCAGTATAAAAATTGTCTACAAATGGGACACAATAAAACATCATGCAAGAATCCTAGAGTGGTTCCTGAACCTCAACCTAAAAAAATGGATAGGCCTAGGTTGGAACCTAATTTGCTTAATTGGTTAGGAACTAAAAGAGGATCTAGAGCTGGTGGAAGGGCTGGTGGAGGAAGAAGTAGAGGTGGTGGTAGGGGATCTAGTGGAAGAGGAAATAGAGGTGGTTGTAGGGGATCTGGTGAAGGAGTCCAAACAGAATATGGGGAGGGTACTTCTGAGTTTTCTAAATGTGAGCCTCAACATGTAGTCATTCCAAATGTTGTGAGTGAAAAAGATGAAAGTCCAGATTTTCACATGGACATAAGCATAACAATTGACAAACTAAGGAAATATTACTACACTAGAGAAGAGATCATGGACTGTCTTGGACTCAGTAAAGCAGAATTACAGCAAATTGAAGGTCTTGGATAGAGTGAAGCAGAAGTACAACCTATTGAACATGTGGATGTTGTTATGTCACAAGTATGCTTTCTCATTATTCATTTTGCGATGTTGAATATTGTTAAATGGCCTTTTTGTTATGCTTGTTACAGAATGTTGGAATTGCTAGCTAAATAACAGTTGAAGAACTCCCTATAACTCAAGTACTTGGAGATGAGGAAATGATGAATGAGGAGGATGGCATAGATGAGCTGGGGATGGGTGAGGTAATGGTAAATGATGAACTGATGGATGGTGAGAGAGAAATACCTATCACACAAAAATTGAATCAAGTCAGAAGGAGGCCCATAAAGAGGAGCAAAGTAAATCAAGTTAGAAGGAGGAAGCCTTCAGAAAGGATAACAGAGATCAAGTTGCAAAAGGTGGTAGCTGTCAAGAATGGAAAGGGGATGAGTTCATCCAACCCCCTTAGTATAGAATAGGATGTTTCTAATCCCTACTTTTGTTAAAAACATGTATAAAACTTTTGGGTGTGGTTAGAAAATGTTGATAGCCCTTTTTGTTTACAGCCTTATAAACTATACGCTTTGGGCCCCTTGTTCATTTTTTTGGGCATTTACACAACTAGCACTCTACATAGCAAACAATGGGTTGATATTGGTGTAGGGGTGTAAATGAGCCGAGCCGAGCCCAAGCCTGACCAAGCTCGAGCTCGGCTTGTTTAATTCAAGGAAGCTCGAGCTCGATTCGAGCCTTAAAATAAAGCTCGAGCTCGGCTCATGAACAATTTAGTGGGCTCGCGAGCCTAAACGAGCCTCTTTGTGTATGTATGTATGTATGTATATATATATGTGTGTGTGTGTGTGTGTGTGTGAGCGTGTATGTATGTATGTATGTATATATAGGCTCGTCTAGGCTCACGGGCCCATTAATTGAAGCTCGGCTCGAGCTCGTTTAATAAACAAGCCTCATATTTAGGCATGAGCTCGGCTCAAACTCGTTTAATTCGATCTCGAGTCGAACTTTTAACGAGTCTATCCCGAGTAGCTCGACTCACTTACACCCCTATATTGGTGCATTCAACTTACTAAACATAGTGAGGAAACTCACCTCGCATTGCTAAATCCCGCGAATAAATCTCTGGCTGTTGGCTGACCGATCCTCGAACTATTAAAAAATCAAAACAACACCCAATCAACATTTGGGTCCTAAACCATATCCATAATCCATACTCGGGGGTAAATTAAAAAGACCAATTTACCCCTCACCTAGTTTAGACCAAGACTTAGGCCCAAACCATAAAATCCACAAGGCCTAAAATATGGCCTAATTTTTCAAATTGGGCCCAAACCCATTGTGGGCCTTCACAAAATAATTAACAACCCAAAACCTGATGGTCCAACAGGGCCCAAGATAACTAGGCCCAACAGATGGCCCGAACCGAAGCCCAACATGAAAAACCTTCCCGGCAGAATACACGGGACTTACCATTTATACGCTAAGCGTACTCGCAGATTGGCTTGTACGCCGTACAGACTTGTCGCCCACCATACTCACCCGATAAATCAAATCCTTCCTTTAACCTCTTAATGCATAGTTCCGGAAGTCTAAACCACAAATGTGAGTCTAATAAATGTCTAGAACCATAAAGTCACTGACTTGGTGACTTTGCATGCCCCAAGAAGACCCAACCTCAAAATATAGCATTCTACCATCATGAAAAGGATCCAAATTTAATCATGAATGGGTTTAAACCCTAAAGGTGCTAACTTTATGGACCTTGAACCTTATAAACACTAAGAGGGGAAACTCAAAGCTCTTGGAGTGGCATCAAGCCACTAGATCACATTCATGGGCCAAAAAGGAACCAAATCTCATAAATGCTAGACCTAAGACATCCATGAACAAGATCAAAGCTTTTTACCTCAAACAAGCTTGAAATGAAGCACATAATCTAGATCCATAAGCTCTTCCTTGATCCTCAACCCTGCATAAAACTCCATCTTCTTCGAAATGTCCCAACAAAACCAAAAATGGATACCATGAGCTCAAAATACCATCATGAAGGCTAAAGGACAATTTCTAGGGTTTTGAGAATTTGGAGGCTGATAAAGAGGCCATCCCTAAAGACTTAATGAGCTTATATAGTGTGACATCCCCATTTTGACGGCCAGAAAAGACCAATTTTTGTTTATGCTTTATAAAAATCAGAGTTCTTCTTTTAATAAAAATGTTGTGGAATTTGTTCCCAGAAAAACATGATAAATACGTTATTAAAAAATTTCCGAAGAAACGTACTTTATTCATTTTAAAACGTTTGGGATGTCATCGTCAATACAGAAACATAAGCATAAACAGAACTTACATTTATTTACACTAGTGATCTACATCTCTTTAAAATCTCTCAGTGTAAAGTGACTTCGTATCAACACCTGTGATATAAATAAACTGAGTGGGTCAGGTTGGGAAACCTGGTGAGTACATAGGGTTTTCAACCCACAATAATATAATTATTATGTTTAAACAATCAAACAATCAAACCAATTACCCATCCCCATTATCTTCTTTAGTCTTAAGGATCTACCCTAAGAATCAGCTATTCCTCGTTTATTTAGTCCTAAGGATCATCCTAAGGAATCGAAACGAAGTCCATCATTACCAAGGCTTATAGAATATATCTGGTGAACACGTAGTCCGAAACATCTGGTAAACACTTAGTTCAAAAGTACCTAGTGAACACACTTAGTTCAAAATACCTAGTGAACATACTCAGTTCAAAGATACGTAGTGAACACACTCAGTTCAAAAATACCTAATGAGCACCTAGTTCAAAAATACCTACATGTTACGAAACTGCTATCGTTCCACTGGACCGTCTAGTATCGTCCATAGTCGTCATCTATACTCCACTAGATGACTGGATCACTGACAACACTGATGTCTCCCATCGTGTTATCACAAAACAACTATTTCATCTACTCATGTTTTTCCCAACACGTTTTGTAGATATAAAATACGTATACAGTTTAAATCATTTAAAACATGTATAAAAATCTTTCACTCAGCATAGACAGCAAGGATTCAGACAATATGTACACATAACACGTAATTTATATTAAAATACTTCATATCTATGTGTAAGATGAAAGGGACTATGCACTCACAACACGTAAATTATATAATAAATACTTCATATCTATGTGTAAGATGAAAGGGACCATGCACTCACCTGAGAAGGTGGTGACTCGGTACTCGGACAACGCTTCGTTTACTTTAAAATAATTTCCTTCGACGAAACCTAATATTATCACCAATAGATTTTAGTCTATTATTCGCCGAGACTAATTAATAGTCTAGATATTATTACTATTATATAAGCGTTAACAAAATACTTATATAACCCATAATAATAGCCCAAGTATTTATTATATGTTCTTAATAACGTTAATATAATTAAATAAAAACTATATTAAAAATAGCGTAGGCGTAACTCACTTACAACGAGTTTTATAGAAAACCAGGCTTTGCTTGGAGTAGCGTTTCCGAGCCGAAAAGCTCTTCTTCTCGGAGTCGTCGAGCACTCCGAGGCTTCCACCTCGTGCTAGGGAGGTTCCCTAGGCTTTTCGGGGGATTTCGGGGCTAGAGAGAGGTTCTAGAGAGAGAGTAAAGAGAAGAAAGAATGGGAAAGGTGTGAAGAAAATGAGGGTGGGAGACGTGGTATTTATAGGGTGAAAATGGCTGAACTTGGTGCCACATGTCACCATCTAGTGGCAAGACTTGGGGAGAAAGCAATGGCCAAGATTGTGCCACATCACCCATTTTCGCACAGCACACTTCCGACTTCTAAAATCCGTAACTTTCACATACGACCTCCGTTTTTGACGTTCTTTATATCCACGCGTAGGTAAATTTAATATCTACAACTTTAATTTTGACTCCGTCGGCTAATTCTCGACCGATCTTAAATTTAACAGTACGAGGCGTTTAGATTGTTAAATGACGACGAAGAATTCGTAACTCCTTCATACGGACTCCGTTTTTGTCTGTTTTTTTACCGTTGAGTTCCTATTAATGATATATTCAACTCTCATTTAGGCTGCATAAGCCAAAAACCGCTCGAACTAAAATTCCAGTTTCGGGTTGTACACTACTAAGCTGAATCTTAGAAAAATCATAACTTCTTCATACGAAGTCAGATTTGGGCGTTCTTTTTATAAATTTTCTCAGTTTAACATACTCTACGACTTTCGTTTAGATCACTAAGGCTAAATCTCGCTCTATCATAAATTCACTTTTTACGCTTCCCGGTGCCGTGCCGGTTCCGTCGCGAAACTTTGACGAGTCATAACTTCTTCATTATAACTCGGATTTCAGCGTTCGTTATATGTACGGATACCTTGTGACATATGCTAAAACTTGGTTTAAATTATTTATTCTAAATAATATTTTGTCGAAAAGTCATTTTCGACCCCTATTATCTCTAAATTGACTAGCCCGGATCTACGGTCATTTTCATTAAGTTGCACGTACTCCCCGCGTATACCCTTGTACGCCTCACGTATGTACCCGAAGGCGCGATCCTGCCTCGCATCAGTATGCCCCACGTACACCGTTGTACGCCCTGCATACCGGATTTAGAACTAGTACGCAATGTGTACACATATATACGCATCGTGTACTGCTTACCCCCTTAACCTTAATATACTCCGAATGCCATAACTTCCACATTATCAATCCAATTCTGATGATCATTAAATCCATGAAAAGGTAACAAGAAGCTCTACGCTTAAATCAACTTAAACCCACCTTACCATATCCTGAGCGAAAATCCAAGTCCCATAAAGGCTCGAGCTGACATATTACCAAAATACCCATTTGGCTCCAAACACAAACCGATAACCCGAATCATCCAAATTACATCATCCACCCCCCAAATGAGTCCAAATCTCAATTCTTAAAGGGTTATAAGCCTGTTAATACCCAAATCCTTGATCACCACCCCCAAAAAGGAAACGATTTGAAACAGGGTGTTACAAAATCCTTCATATCCGAGATGATGTAGTGGTTGAAATCCATAAAGTTGCCAAATTTATGGATTTTCAGTGTCTCTTGAGTGTTATAGATACTAGATCTGGAATATGATAGAGTTTTATGACTCTTGCATGAGATTTTGTGTTATCTTCTCATTTTTCACCCTAGTTAGTGTTTGGGACATGCATTAGACATGCATATCCAAAAAGCCACGATTTTTATGTTCTTTTTTCCGGCATGTTATTTTTTCGTATCCGCGATTATGTTCTTTTTGGCACATTGTTTTGTTTCGGAGATTACGTTCTTTTCTCCGATTATGTTCTTTTGGTGCATTGTTTTGTCTTAACAATAATTAATGAAATGTTATTTTACTAGATTGGTCCATATAGATTTGACAAGATTTTGAATATAAATGTACCCAGATATTTCAACGACCATAAATTAATCATTC